ACTCACAAATTTATAGTTCGAGTTAATAGTCTTTTCATTTTATTCTGTATTTTTTCCTTAGGCAATCACACATATGGAATCTCCATTACCACAGAGACACAAATGATTCACAAAGCTATAGTTAATGTTTGTACCTCAGTCTCTGTAATGAGACCCAGATATGTCCAGTTCTTTCTTTATATTTTCATCACAAAGTCACCTAAAAATTTAAAAATCAAAGACAAGATGATTTTAGGAAAGAACAGCAAATATTAACAAGACATTTAGAAATGTTTAAAAAATTACTCTGGAAATTTATGTGAGCCTTATTAGTGAATTTCAAGAGGATTTGAAGTGCTTGTCAAGGATGGAAGACAGACTTTATTGGGTTGAATAATGAATAAGAGATGAGAGAATGGAGACAGTAAGTACTGAAGTTTGTTTTGATAGAACTTATTACTTTTTTAATAAAAGAAAAGAGAAAATGTGCAAAAGCTGATAGCAAATATGCCATTGCTGGGGAAAGGTTGACTATGTAAAAGAAAAAATGATATTCAAAAGTGTAAATTATCTAAGATGGAAGGAAGGGATAAAAACAAAAGCAAACAAGGAGGAATTAAAGTTTGCTCAGCTACAGACAGAACTTGTGGTTTGGTGTGGGCGTGGTTAATAATTTGCACTTATAATAAGTTTCATGATGTTGTTGTTGGTCTATGAACCACAATGTGTATACAAGTGCTATGGAGAGTGAGGGGTTAAACTAAGTAAAATGTATTGGTATTTCTGGATATTGTTAAATACTAATCTTAGCACTAATCTGAAATTGTGATCATGAATTTATAGTGTTATCACCTATTCTAATACTTGACTATTTCTCTAGGGATGCTTGGCTGCTAGAATGCCTACTCATCCAAAGCATATACATATTGAGCCCAGTCAGTGTTTAGGATTCAGTGCAAAGTAGGACAGATGTGCATGGATGGGTGATAGACTTTATAATTCTTAACTGAAATATTTTAAATGATGCTCTAATATATTATGAATCAATAGTGAATGTTTCTTTTAACATTTGTCATTATATAACATATTCAGGAAATAATTCCTGATATCAGAGATATCAAAGAAGGCTACAAGATTGATTTTTTTTTAAGAGGCAAAGCTTATATTACATCAAATTTGGTCTATAATATACTTTTACCTGTTTTAAAATTGCTTTGTACACTGTTTTCAAGCTTATTAGAAAGTAACAGCTTTTATTCGTTTATTTTAATGACACATTACATCTTTAGGGTTTTTAAATTGGAAAAGGTACTTGTGCGTTTTTTTCTTACATTGTTCAAACACAAAGAGTAAAATAATCATATTCAAATTAAATCAATTCTTTAATATTAGTTGTTAAAATAGAGGAAAATTATGATTTTCTTAGTCTCCCATCTTTATTGATTAAATGTATTTTTAAACTGTTACACTGAAACAAAAACTATTCATGCTAACAGATTACCTTGGTCTTTTTCAATAAATTGTATCATGTACAAATTAGTTTAAACATATACATCTAATCAAATATTTATCATGGTAAAATAAATCAAAAATCCTTTCTTCTAGGTTTTCAAAACATTTAGCCCTTTAGCATTACCTAGTAGTAGTCATGCTACTGTGCAATAGCACGTAAGAACATTTTGTTTCTAACTAGAACTCAGCAGGCATGAATTGACATTCTTTTGGTCCCTGGTCCTTTTTCCATTCCTATGATAATCATGACATTATTCCCAGCATCAATGAGGTCAACTTTTTGAGATTTCACATATGAATAAGATCACACAGTACGTTTTTTTTTTCTTTGCCTGACTTCACTTCACTTAACATAATGATTTCCAGTTCCATCCATGTCACCACAAATGATAAAATTTCTTCATTTTTATGGTTGAATAACATTTTGAATAGCAATCTGTTTTGACTATGTATCGTATTTTCCTCATCTATTCATCAGTTGATGAACACTGAGGTTATTTAAATTTCTTGGCTATTGTAAACAATGCTGCAGTGATCACATGAATGCAGGTATCTCTTTGACATACGTATCATTTTACTTTGGAGAAATACCCAGTAGTACTAGAGTCTTTCAAATCCATACTAATCATGATTGTCTGAATGTGAAATTAATTATTAAAAAATATTTGTGGTTAAAAAATCCTTGTAGTTAATTTGTATGTACTATTTTTTATTTGCTATCAGATTTTTAGAGATGTTTTCAACAGAAAAACTTACTTCTTCTTTCTTGTTTTTTAAGAACAAGAATTCACTAGAGTGCTATCTTGACCTTAGTGTAATTAGTTTTCAACATAGTTGTGTTTAAAGTAGTGGAGGAAGAGCTGCCATGTCAGGCAAGGAAAAGTTGATATTTGACAAAAAAAATTGATATTTGATCCACTCCCAACTATTCCAATCATTGAGTTCCATATAAAATTATTGTGTGTGATATAAAAATGGGTTCCGACAACTTAAAACAAATGCTTGAAGAACAGTGTATGACAGACCAGCTCAGTGGTCACTGAGATGCTGAGGGAAAGTCTTATCAGAGTTTCTTAAGAGAGAAATTAAGCAGGTAGTAAGTACATTTCTATAGAAGGAATGCTTGTTTCCCCCTAGATCCCCAAATTCATACACTGAAGCCCTAATCTACACTATGATGATATTAGGATGTGGTCTTAGGTTATAAGGGTGGAATCCCTAAGCATGAGATTAGGCCCTTATACAAGATGCACAAGAGAGCCTTCTAACCCCTTGCACCATGCCCATACACAGAGTGAAGACAGTCCATGAATCAAGAATGAGACACTTGATTTGGACTTTCCATCCTCAAGTACTGTAGTATAAGTCACCCATTTACTGTATTTTATTATAGATATGAAACAGAAGTATGTATCATTTACTATATACATTGCAGTGAGCATATTATTATGTCTCCTAAGTTCCTTCATCTACTACATAGCAGTGTTATGTTGGATGAAGCAAGAAAGTACTTGTAAAGATAATAATATATTTATTATTATTATATGAGCTGGTCTGTCATACACTGTTCTTCAAGCATTTCTTTAAAGTTGTCTGAACACATTTTTATATCACATACAAATGTCCTTTTTTCAGTAAAATATTCTTTCATTAAATCGCTGCATTTAAAATGATGATCAACTTTCATGAAATATTTTGGCTCTCAAATTGTTATTGTTCTCTGGAAGACTCTAATGGGAATATATATTCAATTAAATTATATATATAATTATAATTGTCTGTATTTAAAAGAAGTGGTAAATGACCATTACCTATTTGCTATATAGGGAATTTTTATTATTATTTTATATGAATGTTCATCACAGTTGCTTAATGGCTGGTATTGACTTTAATAAATGCCTTTAGAAGAAAAAAGTTACAAATTCAAAATAGTATGAAGACAATTTCACATTCATTCTGAAATCATCATTTATGTTAATATGTATAGGAATATGGTCATGTTTTCTATTGAATTTAAATTCAGTAATAAAAAATCATGTACTTTTATATTAAACATGGGAAGGAGGCCATAAGACAATTTGAGAATTTTTAAGTAGCAAACTCTAATAAGGAAGCAGAAATAAAATCATTCTTTAATATGTGCTTATCTCTATGAAACATGTGAAACCAATTATTCACATATTTGTAAGGATCATGAAGTTTGAATCCCAGTTGGCTGTATCCAGATGAATAATGCTGTTTTAGATAAAATTATATGGTTAAGACTAGATAGTTGAAATGGTTTTGAATGTATAAGTAATATATAAACATTGACTTTGAGGCTTCTGTAATAACATTCTCAGTATATAATAATATTGTTGAATTTGTAGGCACATATGAAAGAGAACTGTTGATATCAGAGCCAATACTCTAAAAGTCTCAGACCCTAGTCCTTTGAATATTTTTTCCCCCTAACCTTGAGTGTACGCAAGTTAATCAGGGGCAAAGGGATAATGCACACTAACCAAACTAACAAGAGACTGATTTTAAAAATATATAAAATATAATGCCACGTTATTATTCTAACGATAAGTAGAACTGCCAACCACATAAACATACCAACACATAATAAATACTTAGCCAAAAAGCAGGAAGTCAAATATGAATAGAGGACTGCTTAATAAATATGAAAAAATAAAGAATGTAATAAAAATAGTAGCATAATAAGCAACATCAGTTGCTGTGAATTTTAGTGATCACTGAATATTTATCTGCTTATCAACATCCAGTCACATTTGTAATTAGTTTGCAGCCATGGTACATGTACTTTTAATGAATTATGAGCACAAACTTAGGAGACATGCTATGAAGTACTTGAGGACAAAAGCTAAAAGTTATAAACATATATCCTTCATATTTATCTTCCTTCTTGGAAGCAATATGGAGATCACAGGATGAAATAGTAAATCCACATGTGAAAAAACCCTGGACTCATGATTATTGCCTATAGAGCAGGAGTTATCAGACTAAGATTTGTACAACTAAAATACAAACTTGAATGTGAGACTTGAGAATATGCTTATCAAAACATATTCTAGAATTACCTAGCAAAATCTTCAAACAGAGCATGATACATATAATCTACAAATCCATATTAACAGATTTCCCTCCCTAAACTTTATAAATACTTCATATGTACCTCAAAAATTAGAAAATTTATAAATACCTTTAATCAGAAGTTTATATATGAGATATTTTTTCCATAGTTGGTTAATTCCACACATTGAGTATTGTTGGTTTTCTTTTTTTTAAATTTTGCCTTCATAAATTAAACTTTCTATTGAGAGTCCACTCCCTTGCTGAAAAACAGTTTGTCTATTTTGAGGCTATACTATGTTAAAGTGTCCAGTGCTACTTAAGAGTGTAATCTAAAAATAATCAACCAGAGTGATATTTTTGCCATTATTTTTTTCAGAGTTTTGGAATACTTGAGCAATGTATTACATCAAATATGGTTTTTTTTTTTGAAATTTTTAAAAAATTTAATTTAAATAAATTTATTTGTGAGAGAAAAACATCTGAACATCAGGTACAGTCTGATCCACAATGATCTAACAGGATGTTATAACTCATTCTGGAGTACTCTAATACAGTTTGTAGGGAAAATTCCATGTGGAGCATCAGCTGAACACTTATTAAAATTCATAAAGCCATCTAAGCTGAGCATAATACAATACATAATGACCATGATACAGTAATAAAAATACAATATCAAATACTCACTACTTTGTGAGTTACAAACTATAGTATAAACAATTTAGGCCTCTTTTTAAAAAATGAAAAAATATTTCTATTACAGCCTTATTTCAAGCATTTTCAGTTAGGTACAGCTTTATATATTTTCACTTAAAACAGATAGCAAAAGAATGCCTTCTTAAATAAGTGCAGGTAAAATATGTGACTTGTTTCAATATTTGCACTCTGAAGTATACTATGACATATGTGAGTTCAGATAAGAGAATGAAACTGTGTTGTGGCAAAATTCTGGCTGATAATCAAGACTTGGACGTTTTTCACATTTGGTTAAAACTTTCACGTTGGAAAAAAAAAAAAAAAAAGAAGTGAGGATATAAGGAACCAACATCATTCCTTTCAATGAAGCAGTCCAATTCCAGAGAGTGGGCTTTCCGTTTTGATTTCAAAGTGTGTGGTCCCGAAGTTGAACTCCTTCCAGTCAAGGCACTGCCTGTGGCTGAGAGGCAGCACTTAGTGATGAAGTGATGGGGAGGAGAGTGGGAACTGAACTACAGAGATGGTCACTGATAAACAAGCTCCTAGATGGCCCAGGGTGGCCAGCGCTCCAACCCAGGAAGAAAACACGCTCACTGCACCGCACACTTGGAGCTCCGGGGCGGGTGAACAGTTCTTGACATGGAATCCTGGCTGTAGTTTACAATATCTGCCTTCACCACCCTCTGTGACTGTTCTATTTCTGCTTTGTTTAATTTTATCCCAAGGATTTCAGCAGCAACTTTTTGGAAGCACAGGAAGACAGAGTCTCCTGTCTTGGCTGAGACAAAGTGGCTACTAAAACCATTTTCCTGGCAAAATCGTAAATGTTTCTCAGGTTTTACTGTTCGCATATGCTCCAAATCAATTTTATTGCCCACCAAAGCAACCAGCGGCTGAGTTTCTGATTCTTCACTCACTTTCTTCACCACAGTATACCAATCTTCTAAATTCTCAAAGCTTTGATAATTTGTAATATCATATACTAAGAGGATTCCCTGTGCTCCATAGATATATTTATCCAACATCTTTCCTCCTATTGTCTGTCCTCCTATATCCCAAAGTTGAAGAGTAACATTCAAGTTTCCTGGCAATGTTATCCTTCTCAAAAAGAAATCCAGTCCTATAGTTTGCTTGTACTGTTTTCCAAAAGTTTCTTGAGCAAAACACGTAGCTAAGGAGGTCT